GTAAATGATTATTTTGGCCTATGTTTTATAGATGTCCTTTATGTGATATAGATCAATCATACAGAAAAATAAAATACACTACAATGTACAGCCTAATGAATTATCTCCAATACCTTGTGACTGCCACCCATGTCAATGAATAAAATATTGCCACCACCCCTACCAGTCACTGCCCTTTTCTCTCTTCCTTGAAACCATCATCTAACTTTTATGGTAAGGCTCTCTCTTTGTTTCATTTGAATTTTACCACTTAAGCAAATTTACTTGAAGGAGAACAGATTCTATATATTCTTCTATGTTTGCCTTAGTTTGCTCAGTATTACACTTATAAGTGATATCCATGTTGTACTGTTTGTTCATCATTGTATACTATATATCTTGGTGTAAATATCACATCATTTTCTATAATTCTGCTTTAGATATCACATGCCCTTAATTTTCTTGTTTTCCTTTTGCATGGTTTCCATCCAGGTGACCAGGGATTTTGACCTCTGACCTCATGTTCCTGTGGGGATCAGCCACCCTGTCTGGTGAGGTATGTGGAAAGGGCCCAGGGCAGTCCCTGATTGTGTAAGACTTGGGTGTTTAAGGAATAAGAAGGGGATGAGCCCATGTTTCAAGGACCAACTTCAAAACAGCCCTGTTTATTGGCAGAGACATTAGTGTTTACAAATATTGTGACTAACAGTCAAGTCCCACCCCGGCATCGCCCTTATCACTCACCACCACCAGAAAGGCTATAGTATCTTCCAATCCCTGAACCAATAATACTTTGGCAACATGGTCTACACATCCAGGTGAATCACTTGGAACCATCTCGCAAGCATTTACTGTTTATCCTGAGCCTCTCTTTCATCCATCCCTATGGATTCTGGACCCCAGCTGTCCTTGGCTGTTTGGAGTGGAGACCTGGACCATTTGTTCAAGATACAAATTTAAGAAGAATCCACTGAGCACCATTCACTGGACTTTAGGATGAACATATGGCAAGAGAAATTTTTTAAAGGATTTATCTCCCTCCAATGTTCACCCTTTAGAAGTGAAGACAAAAAGAATAAAATAGAAACTGTGGATGCTGGAGATGTACAGTGACACACTGTATAACCCAAAAAGAGAGGGGTACTTTCTGAGGAGGAGCGGCGGACCAAGATACCTTAGAGGTGGCATTTGAATGAACTTCAACACCTAGTGTTCAAGCAAGCAAACCAGGGAAAAAGATTCCAGACCTTGACATGTGAGCAAAACTACAGCTC